TTATAGTGTAAATATGCATATACTATATTATTTCTGAATGAGTAAATGCTCATTGACTTTCTACAACTGATTTTACACTGAACACATGTTGATTTGCTGAATATTTGCTCATCGAGCATCGTTTCCCCCATCAGCACATATTGAATAGCAAACAAACAACGATCTAATATCAGAAAAAAAAGGGAAACAAAAGCATATTTTCTCACAACAGCAGTGCTTTGCGTCACTCCACACCCACTGATCTTTTACATGTGTTACTTAATCACAGCTGGATAATGGTAATGGCTGACTCATACCAAACCCAGAAGCCTGGATAGACAGGTTCACTAAAGGAGGCATTAAAGCGGTGGATTAGAGACATGGTTTCCCCAACAGCGTAGAATGAGAGAGTACCCCCGGCGTGATCCAGGAAAACGCCGATGCGGGAGGAGTAGGGCGCGCTGACCTCTTGCTGGTCCTTGCTGTGGCGGGCTGAGTAGCTGGAATCAGAGCAGAAAAGGCTCCACGACTTGCGGTTGTAGCCGATGCGGCAGCTGTCACCGTAGCCCGATCTCTTGATGCCTTTGTAGGCGATGCCGATGGAAGCCCCCTCCCCACTCCAGTCTACCTCCCAGTAGTAGGTGCCTCCAGAGAGGGGCTCCTTACACAAGACCTGTGGCAGGGAGTCGAACCTGGCGGGGCTGTCGGGGTAGGACTGGGGGTCTCTCTTGAGGGCAGCTTTTCTGTTCCCTCGTGACAAGTAAAGCTGTCTGTAGGCTGTGTTTTGGTCCAGAGTGAGCGGGCAAGCATCTAAAGATGGGTGGAAGACAAGTTCATTGTTTACTCAACAATGCTTAAATCAGTCTGGGATGAACGTAAACGAGGAAAGCAAAGAGAGCCAAAGCATCTGTCCTAGAGCAGCTGAAGCAGCCCACGCCAAAGCAGCAGCAGAACGTCACCAACATCTCAGTTAAACTTCTCCTCACTGCAGGAGAAGTTTAACTAACTTCTGCAAAACACACTTTGAAGGAAAAGCAAGAGACCCTCTGGCTGAATAGTCACCTGACTGCTGTGTACCTCCACCTCTGCAGGTCACAGCTGGTGGGACACCCGATGCCCTCGGCTAGATCTGCCCGGCCTATGATCTGGAATGCCAAAGGTATCAAACACTGTTTGTGAGTTTGACCACCAGAGATGGGCAGTAACGCATTGTAATCAGAT